ATACACGCAAATACATCAGTCAGGAGGATTAATACATCTCGGACACGATACAGGATGTGGCTGCCAAAAGGCGTTCGTGGCTCAGAGCGGTGGGGCGATTTTACCCTCGCCCCAATCACGATCATCAGGATGGACCCTCCCAGGACCTATCCCCTCACCTCCTCTCTTCTGCTCCTCCCCCTCCTCCTTCAAAGATGGTACCTGTAAATGCTGTCATTCCTCAAACTGCTACACCTGTACCCATCACCAATCTGCATTTGGCTCAGATGATTCATACCACCACGACCAGTCAATCCGAGTGAATGAACAATCTGATCCAAATGCTGACTTCTCAGATGGACCGATTAGAGCAAATCTTGACAAAGCTAATAAGTACTAACTCGAGTTCTTCGCGTCCCGCTCCTCCTTCGTATCCCCTACTGACAGCTCCTCCAGCTCCCGGACAAGCTCCCCCTGCCCCACATCATGTGGTCAACTGAGCGGGCAAGATTGAGTGTTACAACTGTAAGCAATCCGGACACTTTGCGCGGGATTGCCCCTTGCCGAAGCGAAATCAACCTCCGCCTGCAGCCGCGCCCGTCGCCCTGAACCAAGGACGGATAGCCACGCTGTTGGAGACAACAAGAGAGAGGGAGCCTAGCTCTTTTTCTACAGAGCCGTCTTCTTCGCCCGAACCCATCGCGTCCACTTCGGGATCATCTTTTGAAGCGGTCGATGTTCTTGATCCGATAGAATACCTCCAATTAGCAGGATTGATCGGAGAAATCCGACCTGGCAAAGACGAGCTCGAATGGGTTGAACGGGGATTAGAACCCGGTTCTCAGTTTCGAACAGGAGAAATTGACGTTCTACAGACACTCAAACAATTAGATATCTGAGTCCCTGTCCCGGTGGGTCATTTGTTGACCATATCGGAGGCAGTGGATGACAAACTTTTTCAGCAGTGCCAGAAAAATCAGAAACGATTCATGTACCAACGTGTTCAGAGGATGCTGAAGAAAAAGAAGGACGACGAAGCAAAAGTAGACTCTCCTCCATCGAAACCAATACCCACCGTGAACGTGCCCGGCGTACCTGAAACTGCCCGGGTCGGTACCATTTCGTATGCAGAGAAGGATCACTTTGTCCGTGCTCAATCTGCTCTATGGAAGAGTGCAAAATGTGATTGTGAAGTGTGGGGTAAACCGTTCAATGGTCTCATTTATACCGGATCGTCTGCTGTAGCGATGTCCTTGGAAACCATCCGAAAAACTGGACGATTGAATTCGATCCTTCCCTTGCCCGGGAAAGACAACTACGTTTCTGTCGATGAAGAAACCAGGAATGTAGTAGGAATTATCGAAAATGTAGCTGTTAAGGTAGGATAAGTACGTGTCCTGGTTAGTCAGGGATGTGCAGTCATACTCAGTACTGTTGGGTTTGCCTTGGGCGATGGCTGTGGGTGCGCGGATACATTTCGATTCCAAACAACTTATCCTTATACACACTTGAGGGAAGCCTCAGACGGTGCCGCTACGAGTTTCAACTCGATCACCGAGAAAGAATCCCAGCCTCACCGACTCGAAGTGTCAATAGGAATGATCCAAATCCCGAGTCAAGAAGATTTTTTTGAAAGCAGTGACGTGGACCAACCTCCCTCCGATGATGGTAAATATGACGAACGAGATTATGGTGAACTGTTAAATCACATGCCCACCAAGAAGGAATGGGGTCAGTTGGTTTAGTTGTTCGTTCACAAGACTAAAGAGGTATTTCGAATGATTCCGATTACCACGAGAAGATTTGATCAAAACAGAGAAAGGAGAGAGTCTAACTCTGTTCAACCAATATCTTTTCCCACGTCACCAGAAATACAGCTCCCACAACATTATTTCTTGGAGAACCCATCTTGCAGATTTCAGAAATGGATGACCTCTTGGAACCCCCTCATACTCTGTACCTGGGTGCGCTTTCATTACGGGAGAGATATTAGCAGATGAATCAATACCTAGATCTTTCCGTCTCTCCGCCCAGAAAGTGTCGGCCCCGTGAACGTGACCGGCACCGATCACTCGAACGTGAACGGCCATTCATTTCGTGCTTTTTTTGTGAACGGTCGTTCACAGTGAACGGGCCGACCACTAAAGAGTGGTGTTTTTTTTTTCTTCTTTTTTTTGGCTCCCCCAAGTACATTCGCCTCAAGCCCCACAGCGTGATGACATTGAAAAAAAAAACAAAAATCGAAATGATCTACAAAATACCAAACGAAAATGCTTATTTTGGTTGGTTGATTTTTTTTTTAATTAAAAAAATATTATTCGTGAAAAAAAATTGAAAAAATTATAGGGAGTTACCCTTCGACGCCCCCCGCCCTCCTATAAACCTCCCCCTCCCCCCCCCAGCCAAAAAATAAATAAATAAAAAAATACCGCTCTCCGTGAACTCCATGAACTCCCGTGTCGTGAACTCCGTGAACTCCATGACCAGTCTCTATCCACAGACCCCATGAACGGTAAACGGGGGTACGACACTGCGCCCAGACCACTACTCACGCAAAGCACTATGATCACACTAATTAGGCGAGAGGTTGAAGCCCCGATCAAAGATGTTCCCAACCTAATGCAGGAAATGGCGGAACTAACTGGCTTAGAAATCGCAGCAAGCACCACTGACCCCGAGACTGACGTCGAAGCTAAAGAAACTGAGATAATCAGCCCGACCGAGTTACAGATGTTTGCCACCGTTTTTCGATCCGGATCAGATCAGTAGCTCTATGTTCTCCAGCATAGACGCCAAACGACCACTGGGGCCCTATGTATCCCCCGCGGCCGCGGCCGCGGGGTCCGGCTCAGGGGGCGGCCATGTTCATGGCCGCATCCCCGGCTGGGGTCGGCCGCACCGCAGCCACGTTTTTATATAATTTTTCCCATAAACAATAATAGGCAAATATATATATATATATCGGGTTGTAGGGTTTTTCAAACCCTACAACCCCATATGTTTTTTAAAGGGAAAAACAAAATTTATGGAATTATAAAAAATGAAAAACAAAAACGGCGTAGAAAATAAAAAAAATAAAAAAAGTTTTTCTTGGGGGGATTTTTGGTTGACATTTCTTTGTCTTCTTCAATTTTACATTTTTTTTTTTTTTTTTTTTTGTCATAAGGAAAAAATCAAGGAATGAAAAAATAATAATAATAATAATAAATTATGTTATTTTGCAATGACGATTAGTACGTGTGTGTGAGTGTGTGTGTGTGTGTGTGTGTGTGTGTGTGTGTGTGTGTAGCATATCAGAAAGTGAAATGCACTGAGAGCCTAGAATCTAACAATGACGAAAGTGGCAACAACCAGCAGCATAGGTGCAACATTCACAAGATGTCAATGTGCACGGTGCAAAGGGTGAACCAACGAGAAATCAACAACACACATTCGTATCATTATCATCA